CCCCCCCCCCGGGGGGGGGGGGGGGGGGGGGGGGGGGGGCGACCCCCACACCAGGCTGGCTCTCCAGCATGTCTCCTCCAGGCCCAGCCCCTCTCTCCCATTCCAGATCCTCCCTCACACCCACCACTACCCCCACTCCTCTGGGGCTGACTCACCTGTGTCCCCACCCACAGGGGCACTGGGTGGGCAGCTGCCCTCAGCCTCCCCACTGGGGGATGCTGGGCCTGAAAACTGGTTCTTCTTGTTCTTAATGAGGATCTTGCCACGGAGATCCTCAGGGCTGGGCAGGGGGCTGCCTGGTTTCAGCTGTGGGAGAGGAGAGTGTCAGCAGCCTCGGTTCCTTCATACGGAGCACTCACTGCCCCAATGCCCTGCCCGCTGCTCAGCCTGGCCTCTCACCACCGCCCGGGTGCCAAACCGCAGCCTGGCCCGACTTTCCCCCGTTCCTCAGACAGGTTCTCTCTCGCCTATTCTGTCTGCTAGCACTCCTTTCCCCACTCTCACCAACACAAACCCAGCATCACTCTTAGGTTTCAGCTTAGCCATCACTTTCTCCAGGAGGCCTTCCCCGATCCCCAGCACCAGTTCAGGATTCCCCGAGCAGCCACTGGTTGTCATGGCCAAGTTCCTTGTCTTTCTCCCCACCAGATGGTAAGCAGTGTGAGGGCTGGGACTGCGCCTTTGCCACTAGCATACCCCCCAAGCCCCGCACAGTGCCTGACACGGGGTTAACCCGGCCCCACCGTGGCCCCGGTCCCAGCCCCCAGCCCCAGGTGTCCCACAGAGAAGTCCACTCGCCGGAAACTTTTCCAGGGGCTCGGTGAGCAGCATGTCACCAAACATCGCCCGGCAGTACTCAGCCATCTTGGCCTGTTGGCGGGGCCTGAGGGAGCAGAAGCTGGGAGGGTTCAGCAGCCACCCTCCTCTTGGCCATCCTCCCGCCCCCGATCTGGGTCATCAGGGGCCCAAGAGGTGGGGGAGGCAGGGACACAGGCAGGAGGGCCTGGGTCTCAAGGAAATTGTGTGGAGGGCATGGGTAGAGGCCGGGATAGTTGGGGGAGGGCAGCACGGGCGGAAGGTGGGGACAGATAGAGAATGAGGCTGAATGGGCCTGGGTACTCACGAGTCCACATGGTTTTCAAATGACAGTATAACAGGATAGGGGGAGGTCTTAAAGGCACTTTCTGCAATCGCTTCAATTGCTTCCTGAAAGAGAGAGGATTCCTAGGAGCGAGGTCCGTGCTCCAGGCTTCCCCTCCCCCAGCGGCACCCTTCCCCTCTCCCCAGTTTTCACACACACCACCTGAAAGTAGAACCGGAGGGCCACCTTTGGCCCCCCTGCCTCTTTTGATCTCCTCTAGCCCCCATGCTGGTCTGAGGCCCCCAGCCATTCCTCCTGCTTCAGGTCCCCACGCCCAGAAAGCTTGGGGACCGGGGCCCTTCTTTAGTGCCTCTACCACCAGCCTCCATACTCGGAGTCTCACCTTGAAGTAGATGTCTGTGGTCATGGTGAAGCCATGGGTGATAATGGGCTCCTCATCCGGGAGCTTCCCCTTCCAGCAGTCCAGCTCCACGCAGCGGCAGCCCGCCAGCAGTACCTGGCGGTACATCTCCGCAGAGGAGAGGCCCGAGAACTGGCCGGCTGAGGCAGAGCAAGCGGGGGCAGGGGCTTCACTCAGGGGCTCTCCCCACCCCACTCCGGCATGGTCTGTACTGTTGGCAGCCCAGGGGCAACCCCGCGAGGAATTCAGGGAACAGGAGCAGCCCCCATAGAAGGAGAAGTCAGTAGTGAGGAGGCTAGGGCCCACCTGTCAGGTAGGTGTTGTGCGAGGAGTTGATAAAGTAATGATTGAGTGGCTGGGTCATGTCCTGGTGAACCAGCAGCTTGTCCTGGACCAGCACGCTGTTCTCTGGCCCACAGAGAAACCACACCATGCCCTGGGGTGACAGCTGGCCTGGGGGGGGGCGGGGCAGAGGATAACTATCAGGGCCACAGCCCAGGGGTCAGAGCAGGACAAGCCCACAGGGGTGAGGGCTTCCATCGGTCCTCACCCCTCTGCACGTTGATGCCACTGGGCTCATACTTGTCGATGAGGCCCTGCACCTGGTCAGGCCGCGCTGGCGGGAACAGTAATGTGTTGAGGCGAGGGTCCCTCTGTTTCTGGTTGATGAATTTGGTCAAGTGCTCCTTGGTCATGTAGGGTTTGGCCTTGGCATGGCTGCAGGCCAAAGGGAAGAGCACAGGTCTCCATCCTCTAGGCTGGGAGCTCAGGCAGGCCCTTTGTCCAGCAAAGCCCCCTAATGGTCAGCATAACAGGTAGGAATTTTAGCCACACCCTTTCCCCATGCCCAGCCCAATCCAAGAAGCTCACTGGGAAGTGAAGATCTCGTCGATTTCCGGCCGAGGGCAGAGGTTCATGAGGAAACTCTTGTAGACAGATTGTGGGAAGTCCTCAGGATTGATGGAGTCATTCTGGGGAGACAGAGTCACCTGATCACTTCTGCCCCACCTTCTCAGCAGGAAGGACCACAGACTAGGCCCGGCCCTGCCCTAGGAGCCCGATCCAAAGGAGGGCTCAGGCAGACACAGGGGCATTAAGGACATGCTGAGCCCCACTTTTCTTTTTTCTTTTCTAACTTAAATTCTTTATTGTTTAAAGTATTATACGAATCTCCTTTGTCCCCCATTGACCTCTCCCCGGCTGCCACCTGCCCCCCCCCGTCCTGTCTATGTCCATGGGTTATGCTTATATGCATGCATACAAGTCCTTTGGTTGATCTCTTACACCCCCCACCCCCGCCTTCCCTCATAGATTGGACAGTCTGTTTGATGCTTCTATGAATCTGGTTCTATTTTTGTTCATCAGTTTATGTTGTTCATTCTATTCCACAAATGAGTGAGATCATGGGATATTTATCTTTCTCTGACTGGCTTATTTCGCTTAGCATAATGCTCTCCAGTTCCATCCATGCTGTTGCACATGGTAAGAACTCTTTCTTTTTTTACAGTAGCATAGTATTCCATTGTGTAGATGGAGAGAATGGGAGAGAATACAGGGTGGGGCAAAAGTAGGTTTACAGTTGTGAGTACACTAAGGTTTATTCTTCTATTCTTACTTATTAATTATTTGATTGCTTTCCATAAGAACAACTGTGACCTACTTTTGCCCCACCCTGTATTTGCAAATCAGATATCCACAAAGCAACAGCTCAGCGGTAAAAAGGCAAATAACCTAATTGAAAGATGGGCAATAGATTTGAATAGATAATTCTCCAAAGAAGATATTCAAACAACTAATAAACACATAGAAAGATGCGCAATACCATTAGTCAGGGAAATGCAAATCAAAACCACAATGAGATATGATTTCACTCCTACTAGGATGACTAAAATTAAAGAAAAAAAAGATACATGTTGGTGAGGATGTGGAGAAATTGGAACCCTCATGCAATGCTGGTGGGACTGTAAAATGGTGTGATCACTTGGAAAACAGTTGGCAGTTCCTCAAAATGTTAAGTAGAGTTACCATATGATCTAATAATTCTACTGCTAGGTATATATATATATATATATACCCAAGAGAATTGCAAACATATGTCCAGACAAACATGTGTACATGAGTGTTCATAGCAACTTTATTCATAACAGCCAAAAAGTGGAAACTATTCAAATGTTCATCAATTGATGCATAGATAAGCAAAATGTGATATATCCACACAATGGACTGCTACTCGGCCATAGAGAGGAATGAAGTATTGATACATGCCACAACATGGATGAACCTTGGAAACATGCTAAGTGAATAAAGCCTGACATCAAAGATCACATGTTGTATGATTCCATTTACACGAAATGTCCAAAAATAGGCAAATCTATAGAAATAGAAACAGAAAGTAGACTAGCGCCAGCCAGGGCTTCTGTGCCTTTGCATCCCCTCCCAGAAACACCCATCCTCTGTCCTCCAGGGTCACACTGGAAGGCCAACATGAGTTTGGAGCAGGAGAGCGAGAACAGATTTCCCGAAGATTGGCTCTTGGACCCATCAGCTTCAAGCAAAGATGGGCCAGTGGCCCCTACTGGGACACAACAGAGCTCATAAATCAGGACTTAGCCAAGGTGGGAGCTCAGGGGGCAGGAAGAAAGGAGAGTGGTTGTGTACTGACCGCAGTATGCCATGCTGGCTGTAGGGCCCTCAGCGGGAGCCCATTCTCCCCTCTCTCTCCCACCCCAAGCTGGCATCCCCTGGGGCTGACTGCACCCAGGGGTCACCAGCCCCATAAAGCTGTGACTGTGGGGGAAGTATCCTCTTGAGTCTCCTGGGGACAAGTGATCAGTGAGGTCTTAGTTTAATTACAATGTTCCAAATTCTTAGCGGGAGAAAAGACTCCATGGGGTGCAAGTGGTGCCCTGTGCAAAGGCGTGGCCAAGGCGGGAGAGGGGGCTGAGACCCACTCTGTCAGCCAGGCATGAACCCTGGCTCAGCCCTGCATCTGCCCATAATATACCTTATGGGTGTATTACATAATACACCTGCATACAACTTGTAATTAAAAATTACTTAACTAAAAAGAAAGGGAAAACATTTTTCTGTGTTGAGCTAAAGTCTGTGTCCTGGCAGCTTACACCCTGGATTCTGTGCCTCTCCCACACCCTGCAGAACTGGTCCCTGCCTGCTGCATCTTTCAGATCCCTGCAGACGCCTCCTGTCCCTGCTGACCTCCTCTGGCTCCTCCAGCTGCAAACATTCACTCCACTCCCACCCCACCCCCTGCCCCACTGCCACCCAGGGGGAGGAGACCAACCTGC